AAACAAAGCCCACTTTAACAGCTGAGTGGGTCTTCAGTCTGTTGACTCTGTTCTCTCAGCTCCATTAAAGCTTCATTAGACAGTTTGTGTTCAAACACCTCAAGCTGCTGCTGTTTCCACACAAACACTGACACCAGCCCCCCAGCTCCCCCCCCCCTCACTTCCATGTTTATTTTCCTAATCTGTAATGAGTACTTCTCTTTATCGGGTTTGTGTTCAGAATAAAGTGGGCGGAGCCTCAGTTCTGATTGATTTTCTCTTTATTGTTTAATTACATTAATTATTCAGGTGCTGATTGGTCCGTCCACACACTCATCCAGGTGATTGGTTGGTTCAGCTGGAAACACAGAACAAAGACAGGTGAGTCACGTGATGTGGGGCGGACGGTACACAAAGTGGGCGTGGCCTAAACAGGAAGTCAGGTTACCTGATCAGGCTTYAACAGTTGGTGAAGCCTTTCCAGTAGAAGTTCTTGCAGCCGGCTTTGCGCTCACGTTGTGCRTTGTTGTTGTTTGGGGGGTCCACGGACCGCTCCAGGTTCATCCTCCCCTCTGTTTGTATGGAGACCACCTCTGGCCTGGACATCTGAGCCAGCAGGTCCTCCACCGCACGTTTGCTCCACTCCTGAGGAGACATGAAGAAACCACACGGCTCAGAAACWGAGGGTCCAAAGAAGACCTCTAGGATTTAGATCCACGTTAGACCAGAACCCAATAAAAACTAAATCTGACAGATGTTTGATTCTTTCACCAACACTGGACCAGGATCCTGSTCTGTAGTTTGTAGAGGTTGAACTAAAACCAAAGACTGAAACTGATGCAGATGGGGAGCAGGACCARGACTGTGAACCCAGCTGGTTCTGATGACAAAGAATCTAAATTTATACTCAAATTAAAACATTTCAGATGTGGGTCAGGATGGACTGATGGTCCTGTCCACCACAGATCCTCTGGATCCTGTTTGTTTAATCTAACCAGGGGGATGGGGTCCGGAACAATCAGGATCCCTCAGACTGGTCTCTACATTAGAACCACTAAAACCTAAAGACCAGATTCTGATCAAACCGGGTCTGACCGGGTTAAGGCTGTCAGAAACCTGTGAAGAACAGTTCTGATCCTGGGGGGTCAGCTTTACCTGCGACAGGAGACCAGCGCTGCGGGCTTGCTGCAGCAACCGGTGGTGACGCAGCTCCAGGTCCAGGTCCTGGTCCTGGTACTGGTCCTGCTCTCTGTCAGCCTGAGAGGAGACTCCCAGACTGCACAGAGCCAGGGCTGCGAGGGCCAGGATGACAGGACAACGTGTAGGATGCATACCTGCAGAAACATCAAGAGAAGAAGATAAGAGGCGGAGCTACAGGATCAGAGAAGATGAGAGGCGGAGCTACAGGATCAGAGAAGATGAAAGGCGGAGCTACAGGAGAAGAGAAGAAGAGAGGTGGAGCTACAGGATCAGAAGGAAAAGAGAGGTGGAGCTACGGGAGAAGAGAAGAAGATCCTACTGGGTTCTGGTCTGGAGGTCTTCTGCTGGTCCTGGTGCTGGCTCTGGATCTGAGCTGCTGGTCCTGTGGCTGCTGCTCTTAAGAGGCCTGATCTCCCTCCTCCTGGGGTCACATGACTCAGTTTGATTGACAGGCGACAGGCTGCGAGGCGATGGAGGAACTCAGAAGTTAAACAGAAGTCCATTAGTCCTGGACTTTAAATGGAGCCAGAAGAATAAAACAATAAAGCTATCAGCCGCCGCAGCGCCGACGCTCATCTCCCTCCAACACAACAGCAGAATGTCGGCTGAAGAGGCCGAATTAGCCGAGCGTAGCGGGGATTAGCAGACTTCATTAGCACTTACTGATATCTCCATTAAACAAAGCGGCAGCAGCAGAGAGGCGCCCACTCAACATTTAGTCAGAACAAACAGAAGCGTCGCTTCACTTCATCCAAAATGACTTTACAGCGTTCAAACGCTCAGCTGCAGGGARCCAATGGGACATCAGGGAATCCCGCCAACACAAATGTGTCCACCGCAGAGACGAACAATAATCCTCCCGYCTGATCCCCATCTACCCCTGAGTGAAAACCTGCAGAGGAGTCCTTCAGAGACGAGCCCCCGAGGCTCTGGTTYCTGCTCCAGTCTGTGGGAACCACTGTCCATGTCAAGCACCAGCATGAAAACTGTTTGTTTAAAATGACTTTTATATTTCAGCTCAGATTTAACGTTTGTTTCAAAACATCATTATTACCCTCATTCTCATCGTCAGCATCAGCTTCATTTAAACAGATAAAATCCAGAGAAACAAATGTCCTGAGGACAGCAGGACGCACCAGAAACCAACCATTCAAACACAGCTAAAGACTAAAAGACAAATAATTCACTAAACAATGATCTGATACCAACAACTGACAAGACTTCATGAAGGCTGTCCACAAACAGGACAGAACKGAACCCACTGGGACCTGTGTGGACCCAGACAAGATCTGCCAGGTTCAGAGGA